GGCTCTTAGGTTGGAGACCATCGCTCTTAGGTTGGAGGCCATGGCTCCTAGCTTGGAGGTCATGGCTCTTAGGTTGTTAGGTTGGAGGCCATGGCTCTAAGGTTGGAGGCCATGGCTACTGGGTTGGAGGCCATGGCTCTTGGGTTGGAGGCCATGGCTCTTAGATTGGAGGCCATCGCTACTATGTTGGAGGCCAGCACTACTCGGTTCAATGTGTTTTTTCATCAGTGCGCGCAATGTGTTTTTCTTTTTGCCCGCTCTCCCCCGCCCCTCCTTTACTTAATTAAGTAAGGGAGAAGTAAGTATTTTCTGTGTGTGTTTTCGTTCTTTTTTAATTTCTGGTGAAATGCAACAAGTTCCCAAAAAAGAAAAGGACAACGTTTTGAAACGGTTTGGCCTCACAAAGCTTCTTGGCAGCGCTGCCATCTTCTGTGAGTTTGGCCTCAAAACCAGAAACACAAGCGTTAATTGAAGCATGGTCTTAAGACCTTGTTCCTGTCTATCATTTAATCTGAATCTGATTGCTTTATTTGAAGCCAATCCTTATCTTCCGGACTGCAAACCTCTGAAGTCGTGTTTTGCTCGACCTCCATTTTGCACATAAGAAGCAGCTTTCTAACCCATGTGTCGCATGCGAGCCTGCATCTTCTCCAGCTCAGCTCGCCATGGAATTTTCCGGCGCTTCTTTTTTGTGGCAAGGAGCTGCCTCAATCGAACACAAACTTGAAAGAAACATCTTGCCTTTTGTTGCTCATGTTTAGGTTGGAGGCCATCGCTATTAGTAGCTTCTTGCTACTAGTAGTGATGCCGATGCCCTTGTTACTAGTAGCGTCCTTTGCTACTAATAGTAATGCCCTTGTTACTGTAGCGATGCCCTTGCTACTCGTAGCGTCCTTGCAACGCTTAGCATAACTCCAAAGAGGGGAACAGATTCCGAGCGACTGCAGGATCTTCATGACTCGAGCGCAACGTCTCAGCTGGTTCCTTCGACGGAGGCAAGAGAAACGTTGAAGTTGGTTCGAGAAAAAGAAGGGCGGCAAATACGACGGAAGTTCACAGCATTTTTGACGACCTCAACTTTACTCTGAAAAGAAGCAAAGCAAGCAAAGCGGTGAGCGAGCCTTGCCCGGACCAAGCGGCGCTCTTTTTGATCGCAAATACGCTCGCATTCTTCACTGGCGTTACCAACTTCGCTGCTTCCTCCAACCTCCCCAAGTAGCAAATAGAAAGGAAGAACACACAAAAAATAAGATGAAATAATAAAGGCATGCATGGCATGCATTAAAAAATACAAACACAAAAAATCATCCCTAATCTCAACTCAAGCATCTCGACACTAGTGTTCAAAGCAAAGGTTGAGCATAGGTGTCAGCATGAATCGACACATCGCTTGCAAAATGCTGCTTGCTTCACATGTTCAACTTCGCGAGTTAAAGTTACGTTAGCATTTCCCTTGCCCCAGGCTTGACCGTTTCCGCACTCACGGATATGAAGACATCCAAAAATGTCGTTGACAAGCTAGTAAGCTAGTAGGTTGGAGGCCATTACAATTAGGTTGGAGGCGATCGCTAAGCTTTCCCGAGCGGCTCCGCTCAGATTGATGGGAAGTTCAGTCTCGTCCCTCGCAAGCTTGCAAATTAGATAGCCCTCCCACGCTATGTACATGAAATTTGCAGTGAGAAGCCATCGGTGGTATTCATGTGTGTTGAAAGTCTGGTAACAAGTCAACTTGTCTTGGATTACAATGCGCGGGCTGCGGACCTATTCCAAACAGCGAGTCTTGGACCAAGACTTGTCCTTTGACTTGACTTGTAATTAAAAGGAACACCTTCAAATTATGGTTTTCTTCAAATTTATGTTGTGTTTTTCTTCTCGTTTTCCCCCCTTCGCTCTTTTCCAGACTCCTAGACCTTTAGACGGTCGAATATTCGACAGGGTTCTTTGAGATGAGTCTGTTTCTCACTGCCCAACTTCAAGTCGCAACTAGGTTGGAGGCCATCGCTAGTAGCGAACATTGTTTCTAATGGCTTCTTGTTACTACTAGTAAGGCACTTGTTACTAGAAGCGATGCACTTGTTCCTAGTAGCTTATTAGGTTGGAGGCGATACTCTAGCCACGGCGATTAATTCTACACGTCCCACAAATGTGGCATACAGAATGCGACAGGCAACACCCCGGCCTGAAAGTGAGAGCAAAGTTTTAGCAGGCGTTCCAGGGATGACACGCTCTCCTGAGAGTTCCCACCAGTCCGAATAGCGGCCTCGAACCTAAACCACAAACGTCCAACGGGGTCCTCTGATTTGAAGGCTTGGTCACCTGCATCACTACGAACGGACAAAAGGACGCTACTAGTAGCTCCTGGCCGTACTACTAGGAGCAAGAACGCTACTAGGGGCGCTCCTGACCTTACTACTAGTAGCAAAGGACGCTACTAGGAGCAAAGGGCTACTAGGAGCAAGGAGTACGGTTCCACACCGCTATCTGTGGCCCGAACTGTTGACATCGGGCGCTTCATGTGCTTGACCCAAATAAAGTGCACGTTCGGCCGCATTGTGGTGCACCACGACAACGCGCTCCTCTCGACCAAAGCAAAAAGAGACTGAGCCACAGAGAGAGAGAGAGAGACTACAAAAGAGAAGAAAACAATAAGGTGCTGGGGCACCTTTAATAAGGCTTTCTTTGAAACGGAAACAAACATCTTCGCTAGTAGGTTGGAGGCCATCGCTAGTATCTTGTGCTTTTGTAGACCGCTCTTCACCTCCAGGCGGATGTGCGGCAGCTCTGCTGTATTCCTTGGCTTAAGACTTCCAGCCACGGCAGTGTTGCATGACAACTGGAGGCATAGCTGCGTGAGCAATTTGCACTGCGTGTTGACCGAACAACGACAGCGCAACGCTGACATGCCATGGCAAGAAATCCTGCTGAAAATTTCATTGAACACTCTAGGAAAGCACTAAATAAAGATCGCATGTGAGAAGACAACATACTCATGTCAAGCCCTCTTGAGGCATTTGGAGGCCTCTTTTCTCGACCAAAGTCAACGGGCCGAATGGTGGGGGGACCATATTCTCTCTTGCTAGTGACTGTTAGTGTGTGTGCGTGTGGGCCTCTTGCCATCGATTTTGAAACTAGCCCTTTGGTATAATCCAGCCTTGCTGATTCCAGCTGGGTGGAGGCCATCGCTAGGAGGTCGGAGGCCATTCGCTCTTAGGTCGGAGGCCATCGCTGGTAGGTCTGTTCTTTTCGCATCTTTTCGCTATATTTGCTGAATCCAGTTGAGCTTCTGTCGGACATAGTCATCCAAGAAACGTGCAGACGCTTCGGTGAGAAGCCGGTCGCCCTAGCCGGTCGCAATGGAACCAAAAAGGATGCGGTTGACTCGTGGCACGCTTTGAGTCGTATCAGCTTTATGTGAGACACTCTCTTTCCTTTCGTCCAAGTCTCTGTGAGACACTCTCTTCACACTCTTCTAGTAGCGTCCTTGCTCCTAGTAGCGATGCCAGGAGCCCCTAGTAGCTTCTTGTTACTACTAGTAAGGCACTTGTTACTAGTAGCGATGCACTTGTTACTACTTCGTTCTCTTCTGCAAAAGATCAAGTCCTCACCTCCCAAGAATCCAAATCTATGGCCCCAGGGGAACTAGTCATCCGCAGATAGCCCGGCAGGTCGATGCGGAAGAGAGATGACATAAAGATGGGGCCTGGTGATCAACTCGTCGGATTCCGTGTTTTGACACAAAGGGAAGCAAAACACGGTTTAAACAAGGCAAAGAACAAAATCATTTGATGTCGTCTTTGAACAAAAGATTTAAAGAATGCGTGTTTTTTTCTGACCACGGGCGCTCAAGCGTCTGTGGGTCGGCACTGCGACGGCTTAAGAGTCTCGTGCGAGCAAGTGGTTTCAAAAACTGTGTCTATGTCCGTTTCTTCGGAAGTGTCAGAGTGCAATGTGTCTTTTCAAACAAAGGAGTGCGTGGTTTGGGACTTGAGATAACGAATGATGCTGGAGGGTCTTTCTGCAAAATCTGCCGGCAAACGTGCTTTTGTGGCCTGCTTGTGCGAACTGATCTGTGGCATTGTCTAACTTAGGTAACTTGAAACGAAAGGCCCTGTGACTTGAGTGAGATGGGCGGAAGATGGACGGAAGGTTGCGAAGGAAAAGTCAACTTCTATGCAGGGACAATGCAGGGAAAATCCTCGAACATTTAAGTACCTCTCTCAGGTTTCCACTGAGCTTCTCATCAGCATGCAAGCCACCCATGCAAAAATACAGTGTTGCAAAGGATCATGAAAAACTGCGACATCCAAGACGTAACACCAAAAAGGAAGACGTAGCTTGTGGCCGCGTCCACAACTTTGTGGAATCGCACAAAACATTTACACCAGCAACCAGCACCGCAACTCTTACATGGAACGACATCATGGCACAACATCATCTGGTCATATAGTAGCGTCCTTGCTCCGTTCATAGCGATGCCCTTCGTTCCGAACGTAGCGTTCTTGTTATGCCCGGTGTAGTGAGCCCAAGATGCCAAACCACAGAGCGCACTCAAAACACGGCGCCAAACCTTTTCCGCACCCGGTGAAGCCCAGAGCAATTGGCGACGTTAACCACCTCAACCTCATTGACTCCACCACGTGCGCACCCAAGCCACCCAAAGCCGGTTGCGTGAAAATAAATACCATATTGCACATGTGGTGACCTTGGCGATATGAATGTTACTGTGTTGTACTAGGAACAAGTGCCTTACTAGTAGTAACAAGAAGCTACTAGGAACAAGGGCATCGCTTCTAGTAACAAGTGCCTTACTAGTAGTAACAAGAAATTCTAATATAAGTTGTTTCTACTAGCTTCTTGTTATTACTAGTAAGGCACTTGTTTCTGCATGATGAGATGCGCTCGTCTCGACACGTCTGGTCTCGAGCCTGCATTGTTGTCTACAGGCGGCGTTCCCGTCAGACCCCAGCGAAAGTGGGACCGTAAGAACTGCAGGCTGTTCCTTGGGCACACGTCATCAGAAAACTGCCCCTAGTAAGGCCAGGGACATTTCCTAGTAGCTTCTTGTTACTAGAAGCGATGCACTTGTGTCTAGTAGCGATGCACTTGTTCCTAGTAGCTTCTTGTTACTACTAGTAAGGCACTTGTCACTAGTAGCGATGCACTTGTTACTGGTAGCTTCTTGCTACTAGTAGCTGTTCCTTGGACACAAAACTGCAAAAAAGAACTGCCCTCGTCTTCAATCATGAAGGGACACAAACAGTTGATTTCGTCTTCTATCCAAGTGTCTGTTGGGTGCTCTCGAAGCTTTCAAGCTCGTGAAACTGGCAAACAAAAATGGCGGCAGGTTCGTGCGTGGAGTCAAATACAACCCGCCTCATCAAACACAATCCGCCTCCAATGGAACATCTCCAACACTGGAAACCTCGCACAACGAGGGAATTTGGAAAACCTCCCCGTTGGGCCCGGTTGGGGACCCAATAGCATGGTTCACAACGAAAGAGAACGGGAAACACAGCAGTACTGTCAAAGGAGTTGTCCCGCAAACCTTTTTGGCATCATCGGCGGCATCTGTGAAGTTGCATTCGCCATTATTACACTACTAGTAATGCCGGTGCTACTACTAGTACTGCCCGACAACATGGCGACAAGTGAATTGTGCGGATAACGGAAGAAACGTGTACTAAAAAATTATGATAGACCTCCTTTAAAGAAGCCTTGCCTTTCATCTCGGTGTTCTTTTATTTCAGGAGAACTTGTCAGAACTGTCGATTACATTCAGTGCCATCCTGCTTGCGTCAACGTTTGGCTCCAGGTGGACTTGTGTGCACTGAGTATCGTACTCAAGCTCCTGGCACATCCGTGAATCACGCGACGCTCAGCCACACTTCCGAAAAATCCCGCTCCTCCCAATCAGTAACGTGAACCTTCACATCTTTCCGTCCGCTGGGCATCTTCTTGCCTTTGAAAAATAATCGAATTAACGACAATAATCTAGGAACAAAATTGTTAACCTGCACCTAGGTAGATTACCTCCTTAATAGCGATGGCGTCACACTTAGAAGCAATGGCCAACAACCTACTCCAACCTAAGAGCCATGGCCTCCAACCTATTAGCAATGGCCTCCAACCCAACAGCGATGGCTCCAACCCAATAGCGATGGCTCCAACCTAAGAGCGATGGCGTCCAACCTAAGACGCGATGGCCTCCAACCTACTACCGATGGCCTCCAACCTACTACCAATGGCCTCCAGCCTATAAGAGCGAGTCCTCCAACCTACTACCGATGGCCTCCAACCTACTACCGATGGCCTCCAACCCAGTAGTAATGGCCTCCTACCGACTAGTGACTACCGATGGCCTCCAACCTACTAGCGATGGCCTCCAACCCACTACCGATGGCCTCCAACCTACTAGCGGTGGCCTCCAACCTACTACCGATGGCCTCCAACCTACTAGCGACGGTCCTCCAACCTAAGAGCAATGGCCTCCAACCTACCACCGATGGCCTCCTAGCCTACTACCGATGGCCTCTGCAACCTACTACCGATGGCCCCCAACCTGCTGAGTTCCTCGAGGTGGTGTTCCGGCGCTGCCATCAGTCTGGGACACCGACTGTAGCCCGGGCCGTTCCGTTTCCGATGGCCCGTGCGCTCCGCAAGCCAGCCCACGGTGGAAGTGGCCCCCTTTGGCTGTACACTCCCTGAAAAAAGTCCACAGTTACGTGGACAGTGAGTGTAACCATTATAATCTGGACGGCCCCCCAAGAGAAAATACTGGCGGCCGCGAGGACACCAGAACCGAAAAGTTATTTTTGAAGCTTCTTTCGTTTGGGCCAGTTGAAAGGATCATTTGGGTAAGGGGGTAGTCGCCGGATGGGCTGAGCGGCAAAAAAACATATGCTTCAATATATGCTTCGGTGGCTTGGTTCAATCATAGCCATATTGCCCTGAATCCGGAGACACGAGGATTTATTCTTCATTCTTCTTGCTCCGAGCTCTCCCTCCGAAAAACATCAAAAGGCGACCCTGAACTCGGTTCGGTCCAATGTGGCCTGGTGAACTGAGGGCCCAAGCCCTGGCGAATTGAGTCCAGACTCTGCGCCTTTAGGATGGTCCTATCTCAAGGTGCGAATGGGTCGCGACTCCCCGAAAAGAATCCATGGTTGCGTGGATGGCATGGCCCCGATGTTGTTCGGATCCCCATGAAGTCTGCAGACCAAAAAAGATCGTGAAGTCGTGTGAAACTCACTCCACGTAACCGTGAAACAGTTTATGAACTCACCCCACCTGACCGTTGAAGATCATGAAACTATTTCCAGGGCCCACTCCGAAGCTCTTAGGGCCGGACGTGGAAAAGCGATGAAGGTCTGCAAGACGTCGCACACGCGCGCGCGCGCGCGCATCAGCTGTATGCTGCGGGAGGGCGAGGAAGGTGGTGAACTTTGAGGGGGTCTTCAGGCCACCGAACATTCTTACCTACCTGGAATCGTAGTGACCCCACTGAAGCACGTTTAGCCTTATCAATGGTCCATCAAATCGTCAACTTTGAAACTGACTGGAAATTGTGAGATCGCTTGTGTTTGTTGGAATCGTTGGGGAAAATATCGTCTGGTAAACAACATGACAAATGGTCCTATAGGTGCATTGTTGCGCTTTCTCAGAAACAACCAGTTGCACCAAGCTGCCAGCCACACGCTTCGCCCACCAGGCGAAGAGACATGCACCTGAAAAGTCTGCAAAGCCGCCGAACATCTGGAAAGAACAAATTGACACTCTGTTGTCAGTGATAAAGCTCGCACGGTAACCCAGCCCATTTTACAAACAATCAAACATATAAACATGAACCGCTGTCAACTACAAAATGTACATAAGAACTTGCCTTCAAGGAGCGTCGTAAAAAACTAATGAACACTCCGCGTAACCATGAAACAGCTAATGAACTCACCCCACCTGACCATTGAAGATCATGAAACCATTTCCAGGACCTTCCAAGAGGTGTCAAAAACATCCTCTTAGGCCAAGGACTCTACTCTCGGGGGCAACGGCCAGGAGATCTGTAAAACGTGACAAGAATCCATGAGAATCCTTCAGGCTTCAGCAGTTCCATGGAGTTGGGCGAGGGAGTCGGGGCGCCCAGAACATTGACTCACTGGGATGGGACGAGCCACACCACTCCTTGGTAACAGGTTTGAGTGTTGGAGCCTGATTGAGTCCAACTTTCAAATGCCGCCACAGGCACGTCATCTACAGATGAGGCTGAGGGCATGGTGAAGCTGCTGCCTCGGTGAATACCAACCGCCGGAATAAGATCTCGAAGGGTATGGAAGTTTGTAGGCGATGTTAAGGACAGAAAATCAGATCTTCTGATAGTATTTACAAAAAAGGGCTGCTCTCACATTACTGTCATAAGGCCACGGAATTCCACAACCCGGCCGCTTGGGCCCACGCTAACCAGTCCACTCTACGGAGGCACTCGCGGAGCGATACCTGGAGCTTCACGAGAAAACACCAGGCCCAAACACAACCTCCCCAAAAAAATTGTAAAAGGAGGGTTCTGGGGAGGATTTGTTCATCAACCAAATCGTTGAAAACAATTTTTGTTGAGCGTTTGTCGTTATTCTCTATGGGGGTTCTGGGTCGAAAACTTGGCGCTAAAAAAAACTCCCCTATGCTTCCGAGGTTAAGTTTAGCTTCGCTTTGTCTGAGATGATGCTCTTCACCAACAACACCCCTGGAACTTACACGGAAGACAGCCTGCTGATTGCCTCAAAGATATCCCCGCTTTGCTTCGCGTTCTCCTTCAACCTCTTTGGTTGAAAGTGTCGGGCAACCCAGGGATTGGAAGAGTGAAGTGCGCGGAACGGTTGGTGATTTCAATTAGAGTTTGTCAGAAGTGGCTTTATCCAAGCCATCAGAGTATTAGAATCGGCGGTGAAGTTTCGGATGAGGTCGTTTTTCAAGCGCTTCAAGTGCTCTATGGACTGCTCAACCACGGTGATGTCATCCACGACGATTGAAGGGCGAGCCCAGAACCAACAAACCCCGAGAAAAAACAACAACCTAAACAAATCTCAGCCTCATCCATTATCACCGACGACCGACCAGAGTGATTGTTAGCACCCATTTTTCCTCAGAACCCACATAGAGAATACTGACAAAGGCTCAACAAGATTTTTTAGTGAGCAAAAAAATCAACGAGGTGGTTGATGAACAAACCCTGCCCACCCCCCTGGCATCATTCTTTCCCCACTCCCCCTGCCTTCTTTCCACCGTCCACTTCACCGCTGGCGAAGACCAAGCCTAGCCCTTCGCGCAACTTTCTTGCTGCGCTTTCGCGAAGCCGGCTGCTTTCCTTGGTGGGACGATGGTGTCCAGGGGTTGCCCACTCTGTGTGAGAGCGTGGCTCAAAAAAAGGAAACAATTACCTACCGAACACGATTTGAGCACAGAATCTTGGACAAGACGCAATGATTCCATGTGAGCTCCATGGAGGTCCTATTTTCCAACATCTGAAAAAGAAAACTTTTAGCCCTCCAAGCAACAGCTCAATAAACAGCGCGGAAAAACAAAATTCCAAAACCCTAGCCCCTTTCAATGAAAAACATTGCGCGCAGTTAAGCTAAAGGCTTCAATAGCATACAAAGAATCTCAAATTCGGTTCAACCCCGCCTCCGTCACTCGTTCTGCTTCTCTTTCCCTACACCCAAAAATAGAATTTAAAAAGAGTTATCAAAACCGATAAAAATCGCCCAAAAAATCATCAAAAATCGTTAAAAATCGTTAAGAGTCAACAACAACCAACTTTATTTGCGAGTGGATATGGGCCTAACAACCCGACCCTGGCTCCAACATGGTGTTCCAACTTTTGAAGTTCTTTGATCATGGTCCTTCCCCATCTCGATCATCACCTGTTGTGCGACTGGTGGCATTTTGATTTTGCACTCATCCATCACCAGCAAGATGGGTCTATCCCAATTTGAGTTGGGTTTTGCATAGAGAACGTCGATGGTATTGATGCACTTAGTGAGTACGTGAAATCTTCAAGATCCTCTCGGAAATACGAGTATGTGTCAACACCAAAGACGGCGCTTACACACTTTCGGATAAACCTTGACATAGTATGAGCTTTCCCAAGTTTGATCTCCTCGGCCTCTTCTGGGGTTGAGTTCGCGGGGATCACAATTTCAGTGAACTCATTCTTGAACATATCCGGAGTGAATCCAAAAGCCATGACTTGTAGTGCGAATTGCCCAATCGTGTATTCTCCACGGAAACGGTGCCATGCCTCCTCGATCGTGATCTTTTGTTGATCTGCATACGCTGTCATCTGATCATCAGTTGGGTCGATGGGCGTGTCGTTGGCATTGAAACCATTGAATACTTTGTTAGTAAAGTTGGGCATCACATCAAGTCGCTTCTCTCTGAACTTCACTTTCAAATCGGCAACGCTCATCAGGTGATAGGACTTGTATATTGTCCAATACAGCGAACAAGGTACCTATCCATCAATCCTGATGATCCTCTTCCCGTGTGCTGACACCCTGCTTCTTCTTGTTGTTCGTATGGTATAGGTTCTGGGATTCGACACCATCGAGGTAGCTCATCATTTGCCATTCCCTCGTCGGGGTCATAAGATCTGGGCGCTTGATCTTCACCAACCTACCACCGATGGCCTCCAACCCACTACCGATGGCCTCCAACCTAC